AAAATGTAATTAATCAACAACCCAGTTACATGAATATTATACAGATATATCATGCATTCCAAGATATCACTGTTGTGATTACAGAACTCACTGGTGGTCAAATTTTTCTGTCACGAATAAGCCCCTCAAAGAATTTTTCAAAGAGAAGGACATTTGATTCCTTGTGCTACGAAATATAACACATTTCCTCCATTTATAATGTTCTAACCTTACTACACTGGGAGGTATTTTTGGCATTGGAAGATCTATGCTGCCCATCTCAGAGCCTGTGGAGTGGTCCTCAGGACATGGGACCGGACAGTGACCCATTGGCTCCTCTCTTCCAGACTAAGGAGTAGCATCTGGCTGCCCACTCGTTTTCCATTTTGTTCCCTTACTAGGTGGAGGGGAGGCTCTTGGTTTTATGCTGTGTGTTAGGGCTTAGTCCCAACACAGCTTCACACCCCCTCCATAGGCTCCCAAATGCCAGGGGCAGGTGTGGTCATAAAGGAGTGGGAGGGGCCTTGCTGTGAGAGCTGTGTGTGGCTGTGTGTGATTACGTGAGTGGCTGTAGTGGAGGTTTGTTCATTTACTTAAATGAATGCCATGGCCTGGGAGGAGTATGCAAGAGAGAGGCATCTGGAGGGAGAAAAGAGGGTAAGCAGGAACATTGAAAGTGTGATGGGCAAGGGAAGATACGGTGGGATCTGGGAATGAAGCCTCACTCAAGGATGTCAGGCTCGCTGATTGAGAGTGATCCCATTGTCTAGCTCCAGGATCTTCCCACAGGGCCAGGTTATAGGATCCTGTACTGGACAGTAGGAATAAATAGAATAGAATCATAATCTTTATTGTCATTGTACTACTTGTACAACGAAATTAAATGCCACCCCAGTGCAGCTTTAAAAATATAAAAACCGTAGAACACATAAAACACATAACACACATAAAACACATATAACACAACCTTCACATTCTATATTGCACAACCCCTGATGCTGCATTAATACTGCACTATACGATAGAATTCAGTATAGTTACAGCTCTAAGATAGAAGCTATTCTTCAGCCTATTGGTCCTTGTTTTCATTATCCTGTACCGTCTGCCAGATGGTAATAGTTCAAAAAAAGAATGTCCCGGGTGGGATGTTCACATTCTATATTGCACAACCCCTGATGCTGCATTAATACTGCACTATACGATAGAATTCAGTATAGTTACAGCTCTAAGATAGAAGCTATTCTTCAGCCTATTGGTCCTTGTTTTCATTATCCTGTACCGTCTGCCAGATGGTAATAGTTCAAAAAAAGAATGTCCCGGGTGGGATGGATCCTTAAGAATGTTTTGAGCCTTTTTAAGGCAGCGGGAACTATAAAGTTCTTCCAAAGAGGGGAAATGGAAACCAATGATCCTCTGGGCAGTGATGGTAACCCTCTGGAGCCCTTTCCTATCTGCCACTGTGCAGTTAGCAAACCATACACAGGTGCAGTAGGTTAAAATGCTCTCAATGGTACCGCGGTAGAAGCTCAACAGCAGTTTTTCATTCCTTTGCTATTTCCTGAGAAGTCTCGGGTACTATAATCTCTGCTGGGCCCTCTTAACCAAGGCTGCAAT